TTGTTTACCATACCTTTAAAAATTTAAATCGTGACAAAGTTTCAAATTCTGAGCAATGATGTTATGCCTGGACATTAACTAGTTTATGTAGTACAGGTATATGGTACTGCTATGAGTAAATTGGAAGTAAATTGAGTAAATTGGAATAAAAAGCAATTTACTTAGTTTAAAAAGATAAAAACCTTTTAACTTGAAACAGAATGCTATTGGGATTGGTTTGTTTTAGTGCAAAGAAACCAGGTGACAGGAACATTAGGTGCATCCATCCACAAATTAGCACTTTTGTGAATAATAACACTTCACTCACTTCACTTATGTTGAATGCATCTTAGGATGGGATTGAAGAAAAGAAGACCCTTACACAGCCACAATAGCTGGTGTAAAGACTGCACACTAGAAGCCAGCAAACTACTCTGATTTTCAAATAATTCTAACAAGTTGAGTATCTGATGCCCATACCCGTAGCATTTATGGGCTGGTAGGAAAGTGCAACTGGTTCCCCTAATATTTATTTAATGCCTAAGCTGTGTGCTGAGGATGTGCAGGTAAGACAGGTCTTTTACTTAAGACCTTTTACTAAAGACTGATCATATAAAATAGCAGAAAGTCCTCTGCCCTCACACACATCACCTGCCTGCTAATTTACCTGGCCGCAGTGCATTCTCTCAGTCTTCATGGTGACTTATCTTACAAATGAAAAGAACTCAATAAGTAACAATAAAAACTGCAAAAATATGGTCCACATTCATAGTGAAGAGGATGAGGATATGCCACCTACATATGCCGCTTCAGCATAAGGATTATTTTTGAGCTGAAAGCAGTTGAGAAACTAAAGACTCAGGAACAACTCTGTCCTCCCCCTTTCTGCCTAAAAGCAGGACATAAATTTCCCTTCATAAAGGTGACATAAATTTTTATTTTTAAAGCTTTACTGGGCCAGGCGTGGTGGCTTATGCCTGTAATGCCCACACTTTCGAAGGCTAAGGCAGGTGGATCAGCTGAGTCCAGGACTTTGAGACCAGCCTGGGCAACATAGCAAAACCCCGTCTCTACCAAAAATACAAAAATTAACCGGATGTGGTGGCCCAAGCCTGTAATGCCAGCTACTCCGGAGGCTGAGGTGAGAGGATCATTTGAGCCTAGGAGGTGGAGGTTGCAGTAAGCCGAGATGATGCCACTGCATTCCAGCCTGGACAATAGAGCTAGATCCTGTCTCAAACAAACAAACAAACAAACAAAAAAGCTTTACCACTCACCCATACCAGAAAGAGGAGAATGAGTCTTACTGCCTAACAAACCCATACATTTTCTAGTAACCTTCCCATACTGCAAAAAGGCTAAGCCACCTTTTCCTTTGTCTAGTCTCTTCACACTTCATTAAAATGGTATAGAAACTCCCAGTTCTAAAAACCTCTTTGGGCTTTCAGTTCTTGCCTGCGAAGCATGTACGTACTTGTGTCATAAATCTTTTCTCCTCTTAATCTGTCTTTTGTCAATTTAATTCACACAATTCCACCTACTGAACTAAACGGGCAGGAGGAAAGAGTTGTCTTCCCCTACGGTATGTACCAACAGATACATGAAAGTTTCATTATCTTACCTAAGAAGAGGTATCAGCCCAAATGCCACATATTTTTCACCACCAGTATTTTGAATGTAGAGTCATCCAACACCTCCCACATGGAGGAACATTTGAATTACCCAAGTCTGAAAAAAAAATTTTCACAGAGCTTCTTTCAGAAATGACAGGGAGAAAGGGAAGTACAAGGTGAACCCTGAACCTGCCAAAAAGCAAAGACAAATGGGAACTATCTAAAACACAAGGTCTAGCTTGAAACAGCTTTCTTTGAGCAAATGAGAGACAATCTGACATCGTAAAAGGATAACAACTGTAATTATTATAACATACTGAATACAAAATCTGTAAGTCCATAATGATACTCAAAATAGGAGAAAGAAGGCCGGACGTGATGGCTCACGCCTGTAATCCCAACACTTTGGGAGGCCAAAGCTGGTGGATCACCTGAGGTCAGGAGTTCAAAACCAGCCTGGTCAATGTGATGAAACCTTGTCTCTATTAAAAATACAAAAATTAGCTGGGCGTGGTGGCAGGTGCCTGTATTCCCAGCTATTCTGGAGGCTGAGGCAGGAGAATCACTTGAACCTGGGAGATGGTGGTTGCAGTGAGCGGAGATCAAGCCACTGCACTCTAGCCTAGGCAACAGAGCGAGACTCTCTCAAAAAAAAAAGAGGAAGAAAAACTAGTAGGCCACCATTAGAAGTGACAAGTACACAACTCCTTAGTCTCCTTACTCTAAAAATTAAAGGGAAAGAAGCATTTACCATGACTTTTTAGAAGTAGTAGTATGGGAAAGCTGCTTTGCACAGAAGAATATCCAATAATAAATATAGGAGACATGAAATAATTGGAAAATTACCATTTTGCCACCACAACTAATAATTGATTGATGCAAAGATCATCGATATATTCTAAAGCCATTACATGAAAGGCTAATATGGACCGAGATATTTATAAGTTGACAAAATACTACCCCCCACAAAATACTTGCTAATTGCTGAGGAGAGAACATATTTTTACCCCGTGTAAGCAAACCTGGTTGTTACCATGTTTATCATGATTAAACTCAGCATCATAATGGTGGACAATCTGTGCCTTCTCCGAAAGCTACAGCATCACTGCAAGGTAATCTGGCCATAAATGTTTCACCTGAACTGCTAAGGCTTTAAATATAATTTTCAGATTTCCAGAAATACAGAAGCTAGAGGAACAGGTAAACTCACGTGATGAGGAAAGAATTAGAACAATCCAGAATGTGTGATATTCTAGAAAGTCATTGGCTCAGGCTTTTCAAAATCTTGGTAGGGAGTTGTGGTACAGGAACAGTGTGGTGGCTTAAAACTAAACCCTTCCAACCCAGTGTTTGGCAGTGTGCCAGTGTATATTGTCCCCTGGGGAGAAAAGGGCTGTGTGCTAATAGTCAGGGAGGAATGGCCAAAACATAAGGAGGGAGAGGGAAGTGTGGACCAGACAATCAATGCCCTCATGAGTCATGCTCCTGAAGAGGCTGAACCTTAGCTAAAGCATTGGGCAACCTGGTTCTTTTGTGCTTTCATAAAACAAATTAATACCTATGAATTTGTCTATTTAATTGATTTTTAACATTTGCTGGTTCTGTCAAGAACCAAAAATCCTAAAGGGATGTTTATGATTTTTTAGCCTCTATAACAGTTTGCAGATTATCTCTAACTGTAACTCATTCTCAGCACCATTTAGCAGTCATTAAATAGGATTTGTTCCTCACATCAGCAAACTGAACTGTTTCACTGCTGTCACAGGAGGCCGTAGCTATGGTAAAGATCAGCGGGGAACTGTCGTGACCTCCTTTGGAGAACAGTCCCTGACCTCACCCTTCTACTTGGGTTAGGTACTTCACTTGAGGGCTTTAATACTCCTTGTGCCAGCTCTGACCATCCCTTTTACCACATTTTTCTGTTTCCTGCATTGGACTTTAAGCCACTGAAAGGCAAAGACTATGTTTTACAGTCTTTGTATCCCCAAATGCATAGAGATTGCTCAATGAATAGCCATTTAATGAATGAATAAAACTTTTATAAACATCAGATCTGTTAAGTACTCAGATTTGTCAAAAAATAAAGTAGTACTCCCAGATAAATTTCAAAAAAAATAGAAAGAGAGAAACAATATCCTGGGTAATCTTAATGTCCTAATGTTTTGTAGGCAAACAGCCTGTTGCATGGCAAGAGTGGCGCCATCTTGAAGCAAAACCTCCATGATGACCTATGATATCTGGCTGCTCCATACAAAGGTGTTCTGCAGCAAGGTTTTTAAACAATGCGTGTAGCATAGACAACCCCTTATAAAGATGATTATCTAACTTCTCCAGTGGTCATAAGTTTGAGATGGGACTTGCTGTCCAAGTCTTTACCCTAAAAAGCTTGCTAAATAAAGAATACTTTCTGGAGGGTGGATGCGAGGATGTATCATCTCATGGCCTCTGGAGAGTCACTTTGGTTTATAAGTCCCTGTTTAACATTTCTTTCTGAAAAACTGAATTTGTCAGTCACTTTCTTCAGGCTCACACCTCCCACAGCCTTTCAGGATAGGTTTTCATATACCTGTTCACACCCAAACAAGCTTCTTCAGCCTGAGCCTAAAAATTAGCTAACATTAACATCTAAAATTTTTTTCTTTTTTCAAAAATTTTTAAATTTCTATTTTTTTCCCCTGAAAAACCAACCACAAGTATAACATTAACATCTAAATCTTAGTAACTAAATGAACCTACCAGCTCATGCCAACACACAAGTCTTTTCTGAAATTCCTCCAAAAGACTTTTCGGTTTCCAAGTGGTGTCTGGCAATCCTAATCTAATGAATCATTCTAAGTGACCACCTGTTCCCCGCCCTTGCTTCACTGAGTTCCATCGGTCCAGTCTTGACTCCAGAAAGTCCTCTGCCCTCACACACGTCACCTGCCTGCTAATTTACCTGGCCACAGTGGATTATCTTACAAATGAAAAGAACAACTTCAGCTGGGTGCAATGGCTCACACCTGTAATCCCAGCACTTTGGAAGGCTGAGGCTGATGGATCACCTGAGGTTAGGAGTTCAAGACCAGGCTGACCAACATGGCGAAGCCCTGTCTCAACGAAAAATACAAAATTCGCCAGGCATGGTGGCGCATGACTGTAATCCCAGCTACTCAGGAGGCTGGGGCAAGAGAATTGCTTGAACTCAGAAGGCAAAGGTTGCAGTGAGCTGAGATCATGCCACTGCACTCCAGCCTGGGCAACAAAAGCGAAACTCAGTCTCAGAGAAAAAGAAAAGAACAACTTCTCCCTACACATTACACTCTGGTAAGAGTAGAACAGGTCGGGCGGTATCACAGAAGAGTTTTGGAACCTGTAAGTATCTGGATGGATGGGTGCCATATAACATCTCCAAGAGCAGGAGGTTGGGGGCAGGTCTGGAGCCTAGAGCAGGGGATCTGAAGATGGTGGCTGCCTTCGTCACTCCCACCCTGCTCCCTGTGTGTGTGCAGAGTGCCGGCATCACGCTTCCTGCGGACCGCCAAGTCACAGTCCTGGTGCCCTCTGAGGCTGCCGTCCGTCGGCTGAGCCCCGAGGACCAAGCTTTCTGGCTGCAGCCACGGATGTTGCCGAACCTGGTCAGGTGGGACCACCATTGCCAGGCTGCAGGAGGGGCTTCCTGCAGGACCCCGCCCCTCCCCGGCAAGTCCTCAGCCTGGCAGGCGCTTACCCACTGGGGTGGGCCCAGTACCAAAGGTCTCCGTAACTTACACTAACTGATTCCATGACCCTCCCAAACTGTGCCCTCTCCAGGGCCCATTTTCTCCAGGGTGCCTTCTTCGAGAAGGAGCTAGCCCGACTGCATGGGCAGGAAGCGGCCACCCCGGACCCCAGCAACACACTGGGAGATTCGCAACATTAGTGGGGTATGTGGTGAACCCTGGGCCACAAAGGGACCAGGTGGTGCATGGGAGGGAGCCTTTCCCCCAGAGGACAAGGTACAATCATGGACAAAATAATTGGATGGGAAGGGTTCAGGTTCAGGTTACCACACTGTTCCTGAACCATGACCCATTTCTGACTTTCAGGGACTCCTGCTATATTGACTCATTCATCCTACCATACTCCTTTCTGCATGGTGAGTTTTCTCTTCAGGTCCCTCATTTCTCTTTTGTGATATGGTCCTGACCTAGCGAATTTCTACCAAAATAATCGACTCTGTTTTAATTCTTGCCCAAGGATGCTCCTTGGTCCCCATAGAAACTACAGTTGCAAATGGTTACAAAAAGGATGCAGTCATGCAGTTCTACAAGAAAAATAACAGTACAAAGCTAACTGGGACCCTTGGTGACCCAGGGCGACTCGGGATGAAATTTCATTTTGCTGGAAGAAGAATATGTGTTTAATGTGTAAGCTTTTCAGTTAATGTTTGAGTATAATATTTTTAAGACAGCACTACACCTATTTAATAATAGACTTATTTCAGTAGCCAGACATAGTTGAAGGGCCTGATAATATTTAATATCAGAATGCAATATTATAAATTATTTTAAATATTTCTAACTACAAATGTAACATTTTATGTAAGTAACATGTTGTTTTACATTTTTAAATTCAGAAAAACTCATTGAATAAAATGTAAAATGATCTATAATCATATCTCTTTAGACATAGATATACATAGACATATAAACACATACTCCTACGGCATGTATTTTATAAAAATGAAATGAGGCCGGGCGCGGTGGCTCAAGCCTATAATCCCAGCACTTTGGGAGGCCGAGGCAGGTAAATCATGAGGTCAAGAGATCGAGACCATCCTGGTCAACATGGTGAAACCCCGTCTCTACTAAAAATACAAAACATTAGCTGGGCATGGTGGTGCGTGCCTGTAATCCCGCTACTCAGGAGGCTGAGGCAGGAGAATTGCCTGAACCCAGGAGGCGGAGGTTGCGGTGAGCCGAGATCGCGCCATTGCACTCCAGCCTGGGTAACATGAGTGAAACTCCATCTCAAAAAAAAAAAAAAAAAAATGAAATCATGTTGCATTATGCCATCATAAACTACTTTTGTCCTTCACAAGATATTGTGACTAATTTCTCATGTTATGAAGCATTCTTCTATATTCTATATTATTATTTCAATTGTGCCTAATTTATTTTATTTTTATTTTTTGAGGCAAAGTCTTGCTCTGTTGCCCAGGCTAGAGTACAGTGGCATGATCTTGGCTCACTGCAACCCCCGCCTCCTGGGTTTAAGCAGTTCTTCCTGTCTTAGCCTCCTTAGTAGCTGGGACTACAGGCACCTGACATCATGCCTGGCTAATTTTTGTATTTTTAGTAGAAACAGGGTTTCACCATGTTAGCCAGGCTGGTCTCTAATTCCTGACCTCAAGTGATCGGCCCACCTCGGCCTCCCAAAGTGCTGGGATTACAGGCATGAGACACCTCACCCAGCTCAATCATGTATATCTTTATATAAATATATCATAATGTGTTTAACCAATTGCCAATATCATTGTTCAGTCTCATTTAAATTCAGCTCAGTTTCTTTGTATTAAAAATAGCTCCATGATAAGTACTTTTTTTCTATAATTCATTTAAATTTTTAATTTTTTTTTTTTTTTAGACAGAGTTTCACTCTTTTTGTCCAGGCTGGAGTGCAATGGCACAGTTTCAGCTCACTGCAACCTCCATCTCTCAGGCTCAAGTTAGTCTCCTGTCTCAGCCTCCTGAGTAGCTGGGATTACAGGCATGAGCCAACATACCCGGCTTTAAATTATTTATTTAAACTAAATTCCCAAAAGGAGGTGTGATAGGTAATAGATTATAAATCATTATAAGGGTTTTGAAATATTTTGCCAAATTATCCACCAAAAAGTTCATGCAAATCTACATGCTTATAAGCAATTCATGAAAGTTTATTTTTATCCCAATAGCCCTCATTTTCTATTTACATGGTGCAAACGGATGTTATTTTATCTTTTATTTTATTATTAATGACTCTACATATTATTTCATGTATTTAATAACGACTTGTACACCTCTCTTTATAAAGAGCTTTTTCTTTTTTTTCTTCTAAGTTATTGATCTTTTTCTATTACTTTATAAAATCTATTATATATATTTTTTTAACTTTTCTTTTAGGTTCAGGGGTACATGTGCAGGTTTATTATATAAGTAAACTCATGCCACAGGAGTTTGCTGTACAGATAATTCTGTCACCTTGGTACTAGGCTAGTTACTGTCCTGCTCCTCTCCCTCCATCCACCCTCCACCCTCAAATAGGCCCCAGTGTCTGTTGTTCCCTTCCTTGTGTCCACTTGTTCTCATTATTTAGCTCCCACTTATAAGTAAGAACATGCAGTATTTGGTTTTCTGTCCCTTTGTTAGTTTGCTAAAGATAATGCCCTCCAGCTCCATCCATATTCCTACAAAGGACATGATTTCATTCTTTATTATGGTTGCATAGTATTCCATGGTGTATAGGTACTATATTTTCTTTATGCAGTCTACTGTTAATGGGCATTCAGGTTGATTCTCTGTCTTTGCTATTGTGAATAGTGCTGCAATGAATATAAACGTGTACATGTCTTTCTGGTAAAATGAAAATCTATTACTTTAAATACTTTGTCATATATACTGAAAAAAATTCCCGAATTTGTTACTTGTGTTTTAATTTGTATATAGTTTTTTGCATACAGAGTTTGAAAATTTGTGTGTAGTCCTATGTATTAATTTTCCTTAGTGGTTTTATTTATTTGCTCTAATAATTTAAATATTTTTCATTCCTTCCCTTTCATTTAAATGTTTACTCTATAGATTGTTTATAGAGGCTTCTACTTCTTTATTTCTTTAATATTTAATTGCTTAAAGAATCTGGAGCTTACTTGGGTATATTTTATGAGATAGGGTCTTTATTTTTTCTACAAAGCAACCAAGTGTCCAAGTGCCATCATGACATACAATCAAGAACTTCCAGGTCTCAGGCCAGATGCAGTGACTCACACCTGTAATTCCAGCACTTTGGGAGGCCAAGGTGGGCAGATCACTTGAGGTCAGGACTTATAGACCAGCCTGGCCAACATTTCTGCTAAAAATGCAAAAAAAATAACCAGGCATGGTGGCACATGCCTGTAATCCCAGCTACTCAGGAGGCTAAGGCAGGAACATTGCTTGAACCCAGGAGGCAGAGGTTATAATGAGCAGCTGTTTTGCCTGCTCATAAATCTAGTAGTACCTGCAGACATTTATTCTAGCATCATAAAGATGTTACTTTTGTGGATGTTGACTCAGCATTACACATCACTAACTTATTCCTCAAGCATTGACCATGAAGTGCCGGAATATTGCAATTAATAATTCTTGGTACCCTGCCTATTCCAACAAAAAGAAAAAGAAAAAAGTAAGCAAGAAAGAAAAGACAGCCAGCATATTTAATTACAGTATTGTCACATGTAAATAATCTGTGAAACCAAAAATAAGCCATAAATGTGTTGACTAAGATAAATTATTCTGAATAATCTCAGGTTTCAACTTTGTTCATAAATATAACATTTATTAAAGCGACTACTTATTTAATAACATAATGCCAATTGGAGAGAGGACACCTTCATGGCGGCCAGAATACTTTTCTAAAATCATGTCATGTAAGAAATTACCCTAATGCCACATAGCCTCCAAGTCCACTGCCAGACAAGCTATCACAGAGATCATGGAAATGAAGGACTCCAAGACCAAGTTAAACTGTTCACATCAACAGTTTATTAAATCAACTTAAAACACATATACACCATGGAATACTATGCAGCTATAAAAAAGGATGAGTTCATGTCCTTTGCAGGGACATGGGTGAAGCTGGAAACCATCATTCTCAGCAAACTAACACAGGAACAAAAAAACAAACACCGCGTGTTCTCACTCATAAGTGGGAGTTGAACAATAAGAACACATGGACACAGGGAGGGGAACATCACACACCAGGACCTGTCGAGAGGTGGGGGGCTAGGGGAGGGAGAGCAGTAAGAGAAACACCTACTGTAGATGAGTGGTTGATGGATGCAGCAAACCACAATGGCACATGTATACCTGTGTAACAAACCTACAAGTTCTGCATATGTATCCCAGAACTTCAAGTATAATAAAAATAAAAATAAACAAATAAATAAAGATTGTTCAAGTGAATTTAAAAAAATACATAGTGGGAAGCAAGGGAAAGAAGGAGCAAGTAGTGTACATTATTATACTTAGGATTGGATGCTCGCAGCATGAATGGGCTGCACTACCTGAATCCTGAGGAACTCCATATTCATGCATCTTGTCTTCCTCTACTGCTCCATTAGCCTTTCCTGCTTGTGGTGTGGTTACAGGGACCAGAACTGAGGTTTGAACAAAGGGTTCCATATATTTAAGGCTGCCTAAGCCACTTGCTCTATTGGAAAGATGCAAGGACAGTACATCTGGCCACAAGGGACTCAAATGTACGTAGTACCTCATGATTATTAGGCATTTCTTGGTCATTCTGTCCCTTTTAACATGCATCTACATTTAACACATACATACGTACTTTACTTACTAACCATTTATCTATGTGTAACAAATCTTAGTTCATTCATTTGTTGTTTTCTATAACAGATCTTAATGTTCTCAAACAATATAACATGTATATGTTGCAAATCTCTAACACAATTCTGACTGCTTAATCTGCTGCTGTTGTACCAAATCTTTATAACTCATCTTGAATTTCAACTTGGCATAAAAATCCTCCAGAAAGTTTGGCTTTAATTTATGGTGTTAATTTATTTTTCCTAATAGTGACCAGCCCTGATTCTGCTTATTTCCAAAGTAACAGTGAAAGCAAAACGTTGTTTATCTGTCTAGATTTTCCTCTCACTCCTAAGATCTATACATTTCCCATCCACTT